GTTTCTGTAGGATCTTGATAATCCCAAGAAACAAATACCTAAGACAATTCCTATTTCTTCACTATTCCGGAGAAAGTCAAGGTCTGGTTATGGACTCTGAGATGTGGAGGCAGAGATTGGTGGGACTGGGGAAGCCCTCACACCTGACCAAGCCAAGCAGAAGCACCTGCTGCAATTTTGAAACCCAGATTCTGAAATGAGGAGGGCCAAGGAAATCTACAGCTGCCAGTGCAGAATGTGAGAGGAATTCCTTGAGTTTGAGGTTATAAATAGTTAAGGTCTCATGGGTTATCACCTGCAAGAGAATAAAATGTAGACTATGCCCATCCCCTACCCGACCTCCTCATGGCTACAGTGCTTAGGTTCTTATTTGGACAGCCAGAGATGGACTTCTAGAGAGTTCTGTGAAAAGCTCTTAATTTGGAAACAAATTCATAAGCATGCATGTGTTCTCTAGTATATGTATACTGGCCCAGCTGGTATTGCTCAGTGGTTGAGCATCAACCCATCACTAGGAGGTCCCTGGTTTGATTCCTGGTCAGGGCACATGCCCGGTTTGAGGCTCCATCCCCAGCAGGGCGTGCAGGGGCATGTTGATGTTTCTCTCTCATCAGTGTTCCTATCTCTCTCTCCCTCTCCCTTCTTCTCTCTCTAAAATCAATAAAAACATTTTAAAATTTTATTTAAAAAAGGTATGTATACTGTGTAAGATATATATTCTTCTGAGGTTTTAAATAGATTTTCTTAAGGTCCGTGATACTAAAAGATTAAAACCTATAGGTTTAAGGAATTGCTATTTGAAGGAAGGTTGTCAGAAGTGACCAAATGGCAGTAATTTCTCCTGTACTCATTGGACCTTGCCTCCCAGACCCTTTAAAAATCCTTGGTTCCTTCCCTTGCACTCCACGAGGCCCTCCAGATAGCACTGGACAGATCTCTTCCTCCCTCTTCTGGTTTTTCAAGTATGATACACTTTCCCCCTGTTCTCTACCTAACTAGGGCTGAGATGGAACGATAACGTCATCATTAGTCTCAGGTGGGAAAAAAATCTAGAGCGCCCCACAGTGAAGAAATCTCATGCTAGGAAAACAGTCACAGATGCAATATTGTTAGTTAAGGTGCACACACAAGGTGACAATATTTCACATGCTAGCTTTAGTGTCCTCAGAAAGGCAGTGACTTAGAGGGAGATAAAAGAATGCATGCAAAAGTTACCATTGTGGCCCTGCTACGGTGGCTCAGTTGGTTGGAGCATCATCCCATGCACCAAAAGGTTGGGGGTTCAATTCCTGGTCAGGGCACATACCTATGCTCCAGGTTTGGTCCCTGGTCAGGGTGCCTATGGGAGGCAACCAATTGATGTTTCTCTCTCACATCAATGTTTCTCTCTCTCTCTCTCAAATCAATTAAAACATATCCATGGGTGAGGATTTAAAAAAAAAAAAAGTTACCATAGTGTTTGCTCCCTAGTAAGCACTGAATGTGAACTCTCATTAAACTGAAGCTTTATTTTGTGAGAGTTAATGCATTATCACCATGCGATTTTCCCTACATCATCACATTTAATCCTCAAAGAGACCTTTGAAGGTAGAAATAATTTTTCTCATTTTTAGATATGGGAGACTGACGTTCTGTGAGATTAGGTACCTTAGCCAAGGTCTCTAGTATCTTAAAAGACTGAGCCAGCATTCAAATCTACTTGATTCCAAGCCCATGCCCTTCAGGTTCCATTACTTGTTTTGTATAATTGAAGTCTCTGAGCCTCATTTCCTCTTCTGTAAAATGGGAAAGTGACTACCTCATGGGACTGTGGGAGGATGGGAAGGCTCCAAGCAGTGCCTGCGACATACTGTCAGTTGTAGCGATTATTAATGACTTCCCCAGATGAAAGGCCTTCCCCCATGTTTCATTTCTTCCTGTTCTCTTCCCATTGGAGGAAACAGGCTGGAGGGCAGCCCCAGCTCAGGGAGATAATTTTAGAAGAGAATCCCCTGGCAGAGGTTAGCATGGGGAAGGGAATAGACTGAACTTCAACCTGATACCCTTATTCAAGGGCGGGGGTGGGGAGGACTGGGGCTGAGACAGACGCTCCTCTGTAATCCCAATGTGTCACTCCTCCTAAAAGTCTTCCTATCCAGAAAACGGGGACTAATGTTAGTCCCACTATTCCAGTACTTTCTTTTTTAAAAAAATATATTTTATTGATTTTTGACAGAGAGAGAGATGGATAGAGAGTTAGAAACATCGATCAGCTGCCTCCTGCACACCCCCTACTGGGGATGTACCCACAACCAAGGTACATGCCCTTGACCGGAATCGAACCTGGAACCCTTCAGTCCGCAGGCCGACGCTCTATCCATTGAGCCAAATCGGTTAGGGCTCCAGTACTTTCTTAACCTCTCCTAGACGTTGTATCTTTCCCTCCCTTGAGGATATCCCACTGTTGTGTCTTATAGTACAGCCAACCAGCTTCAGTTCACTCCCCGTGCCCTTTGCCCCAGTGGTCTTCTCCAGCCATATCCTCTCCCTCCACCTGATATGCTTCCACTCCACTTAGTCCCTTTCTGCTCTTCCTCCTCTACATTCAGCCCCCAGCTGCTTCCCACCACATGCTCCTGCAGAATGTCCCCTCTTGCTGAGCCTCCATAGCCTGCTTGCACTGGCGCACTTGCCTCTCCAGGTCTGCCCTTCATACACATTGCACCCCGAAAATCCCCCAATTACACACAGCCCACTGCTTAGATCTTACCCTGGCTGCCCCGGAATTCTCTTACAACTATGCTCACCCTAGGAAACCCGAAATCCAAATTGAACCGTGAGCTAAGGAATTCTACACACCTCATCCTCCAGTTCCAGCCCAGTCTGTTTCTCGTCTTCACCCCATACTTGAAAGAATCCAGAAGCAACACTGCTTGCTAATGACTCTTCCATCTCTTCTGTGAGAAATGCCAGTGCTGGCCATATTTTGGGCAGCTGCTGATGGTCAAGACAACTAAGATGGGCTTATCTCAAGTGTGAACCTGTACATCTAAAAAAAAAAAATCTGGCAGGGCCCGGCCAGTGTGGCTCAGTGGTTGAGCATTGACCTAAGAACCAGGAGGTCAGTTTGATTCCTGATCAGGGCACATGCCTGGGTTGCGGGCTTGATTCCCAGTAGGGGGGGATGCAGGGGCAGCTGAGCAATGATTCTCTCATCGTTGATGTTTCTATTTCTCACTCCCTCTCGCTTCCCCTCTGAAATAAAAATATGTATTTTTTTAAAAATTGGCAGAGCCCTGTCAGTGTGGCTCAGTGGTTGAGCATTGAGCCATGAATCAGGAGATCCCCAATCAGGGCACATGCCTGGGTTTCGGGCTGAATCTCCATAAGGAAGGATATAAGGGGCAGCCGAGCAATGATTCTCATTAATGTTTCTATCTCTCTCTTTCTTCTCCTTTCCTCTCTGAAATCAATTTAAAAAATATATTGAAAAAATTAAAAATTTTAAAAAATTGGCAGCAAAATAAGAAGGGGTATGCCTTGAGAGGTGGTGAAGGATGCTGTAACGGGCTAAGAAAAATATGCAGGCATCGTAAGATTGTCTGCAAACACAGAGACATAAGACACATATCAGTAATAAATATAAGCATTTATTTGGCACCTGATGGCAATGCAACATCCTGGCAGTGGGAAGTGAAAAGGTTTATCACCCAAATATTTCCATACAATACTGATCCAGGGGTAGGGAGGACTTGGCCACAAGTCTCCGAACCACCTGGCTCACAGAACGAGCATTTATTGAGCACCTGAACTATGATACAGGCCAAGCACTGTGCCAGGCTCCATGAGAGATGTAGAGGAAGTTGTCTCAATGTGACATGTCTTCAGGGGATAATACCAGTGAATAAAACAAAACACCAAACTGTGTATATTGTCAAAAAGTAGGATTCTGGCTAGGGTTGCTTCCTTCAACATTTACTGAAGCCCTAACATATGCCAGGCACTGGGTACATACTGATGAACAAAAAAGTTTTTGCCCTCATGGAGCTTCTAGTAGAGGAGAGAGAATGAACAAGGGAAGCAAGTAAATATTATCATAGGTTATGAAAAGTGCAATGAAGGAATTAAACAGGACACAGGAATAAACATAGATCATTTAGAGACAGAATGGCCTGAGAAGGCCTCCACAAGACAGTGGAATTTAAGCTGACACTTGAAGAATAAACCACCCAATCAAGAGTGATGAGGAATGGCACTCAGTAGACCCCGAGAGAGTGTCTGTGACGGTTCATGACAGGAAAGAGCTCAGAATGTTTGAAACTGAGGAAGCCAATGGGGTTGCTGCTTAGAGAAAAAGCAGCACTTAATAAGGTTCCAGGAGAAGGTGGGGCCTGTGGGCCAAGGTAAGGAGCTTGGATTTTATTTGAGGTGTAATAAAAAACCAAAGGGTTCCAAGCAGGGGAGTGACATGATCAAGATTTATACTTAAAACCAAGTCTGTTATATAGATATTAGATTGTAGTACGAAGAATGGAAGTCAGAGAGGCCTTCAGGAACTAGAAAGTCTCCTGTGAGCACAGATAAGGACGGCTCCTAGGGTAAACAAACATGGACAGCCATCTAGCAAAGGCCTCCCTGAAACAGACAGACATAGGGGCCAAGGAAATAGGCCGTATAATATCCAAGGGGATTTAACACTGGAACAGAAAGCAGGAACAAGGAACTACATCACATCCTTGAGCAGCCAATTAAGTAGTATTTTAGACCAATTTGGAGGCAGCAGTAACCAGGATCTCATGAATGAGGGGAGAAGCAGGAAGCAGGGAGAGAACAACTACAAGATAAGGTGACAGGTTGCAGCGGTTCTCAACCTGTGGGTCGCGACCCCTTTGGCGGTCGAACGACCCTTTCACAGGGGTCGCCTAAGACCATCCTGCATATCAGATATTTTCATTACGATTCATAACAGTTATGAAGTAGCAACGAAAATAATTTTATGGTTGGGTCACAACATGAGGAACTGTATTTAAAGGGCCAGAAGGTAGGTTGAGAACCACTGGGTTAGAGGATGAGGAAGCATCCCACCCTCACCTGCCCCTGCTGGCACTGCCAGGCTCATTCCAGTAAAAGTTCGGAGAAAAGACCTTTGGGACGTCCCTGCATAAAGATCAGTGAGTTCCAGATACAAGGCATCCGATCCCTAGCCTCTGCTGAAAGCTCGGATTCCTTGAGTCCAGAGGAGCCACAGGTGGCACTGTCCTTCCTGCGGTGGCCTTGCTGCACAGGAGGAATGCACAGGCTGTTCCACACACAGCAGCAGAGTGTGTCTCTGGTCTTGTTTGTCCTTCCAAAGCCACGTGGGAAATGCCTACATTAAACGAGGACTCTCACTCTGGGACAAGTGGGGCTGGGATATGAAAGATGGGAGATGACCTCCAAGACATCTTAACTAACGTAACAAAAGCAACCACCACAATGCTACCTACAAAAGCCCGGGGCAGGAAGTGAGCACACAGGTCGAGGAGACCTGCATGCCTCTCCCCACAAAGCCCCCGTGCTCACACACCTTTCACCAGGCTCCTCTACGGCAGCCAAACGTTGCTGGCAACCCGTCCAGCCAGGGCCAGCCCAGGGAGAGAGCCTCACACAGGGGGAGCCAGCCTGTGGGCCAGGATTCAACGTCGAGGATGGCAGGCTGTGAAACCAGCCCGAAACTCCCAATCCCTGAGAGGGAAGGACAGAAACCGCGATCCTGCAGAAGCTCCAGCACACCACATGTGGCCCCGGGGCCGAGCGGAGGCGTCACGTGGGAGGGTGTCCGGGGAACAGATAGAGGTGCCGGCACAGGGTGCTACAGTACTCCGACATCTCCTTGCACCGGTGGAACTCTGTGCCGGGGGCATAGCCTTCGCGCTCCTTGATAAGTCCATTCACCTGGAAAGGCAAAAACCAAGAGTCCAAAGTCTGAGAATCTGGTGTTTTCACAGGAAGGGTGGAGAGACTGGGCGGTGACTGGGCAAGGGAGGAGGAAGGGACAACACCCTGGAGGTTCACAGAGCCAGACTGAGCGACTTACTTTGACAAGCATGTCGGCCACGTGCATGTCACAAGCCCTCTCAGAGAAGATTTGAGTGAGGGCCTCGATATACCAGGAACCCCGTTTGGTGTTACGCATGGCGGCAGTCCCTACAACCAGGACAAAAGTCACCACAGTGTGAAGGTCATGGGATACCCTTGCATAGCTGGACATCCCAAAGTAGCTGTCCACGGCACTTTCTACCCGCCCCCATCAGAGCTGTACATGATAAAATGCAAGTCTATAAGAGAGTGTAATCATTTGGACTGTTCTAGAATTCACAATACCTCTGAGGCAGGCATAGCCACATATCATGTCCGAGCGAGTGGGCAGTCGCATCTTCAGCAATTCCTGTCTACCAGCATCACCCTCCTCGCACTCAGGGGACAGGGAGTGGCCCTTTCCATCCTGCTGGTCAACCCCACGATCCGTTTCATCTGTAGGAAGGCAGAGTGGACAAGGATGTTATTTCCTCTCATCTCTCTTGGGCCCGTCACAGACAAGCCCAAGTTCCCTACAACCTTGACTGGGAAGAGCCATTTCCAGCTGCTGCCTCCAACCTAGAGCTGATGAGTTAAAATGCAAAAAAACCCCATTGTTCCCATTCCTCTCCCGACATGCATTCATTACCCCGGGGGGGTGCCCAAACACATGGTCTGAGCTGTCTATTCTGTGCAAGACGGGGAAAGTGCTGAGTCACATACCCTGGTAAACAGAACTAAAAACTGCCTCTGTCCATGATTCACTTGCTCACTGAACAATGCACCTGAAAGTCATGGTGCTTTTTATTGCAAAACACAATTGATATATTTAACTAATTGTAAAAGAAAAAACAAGTTAATAAACCAAAAGTATGATTACATGTATGCCATATAAAAGTCACAACTTGAAGTCTATGTAACAATAAAAAGATTACAAAACTAAGCATGACCAGCTGTTTCCAAAGCATTTTTGGTATTTTTAAATCACTTATTACTTGTTTATTAATTCCATAAGCCATATTATATCAGGTATCCAAGATTTAAGAGCAATTTAAAAGAGGAAAAACTTAAAAGAACACTATATATTCAAAAGTTTTAGCAGTAGTTTCTCAACCTACCCTGAGCACATGCCCTGCCTCTTGAATGAGGCCTTACCTATTCCCAGACATATTCTTATTTGATGTTGCTTCATTTTGGGGATGGGAGGGGGTGCATCGGTCGGAAAGAGAGACAGAGAAGACACACAACTCATAACACAAAAGATAAAAGTATGCTTTTTCACAACACTGCCTGCTCCACGCACTATTCAAGAGAGCCTAGAAGGAAAGAGAAGCTTGAAGAACTGGGGGTGGGGAACAACCAAGATTCATTGATCCAATAAAGATTTATTGAGCAACTGCCATGTGCCAGTCACTGTTTTTGTTTTAAGCTCTAGAGAGACAGTTAAGAAAAAGTCTCTGCCCTCATAGACTATGGAGAAGGTGGTATTTTTTAAAAAAAAAAAACATATATTTTTATTGATTTCAGCGAGGAAGGGAGGGGGAGAGATAGAAACATCAACGATGAGAGAGAATCATTGATCAGCTGCCTCCTGCACACCCCCTACTGGAGATCGAGCCCGCAATCAAGGCATGTGCCCTACCCAGGAATCGAACCCTGACCTCTAGGTTGATATGCTCAACCACTGAGCCACACTGGCCAGGCGATGGTGATATTTTTTATAGACATCGACCATATTAACTAAATACAGAAGACAGGTGAGCTCAAGTTTAAGTATTTAATTTTAAAGATTCGGAGCCATTTCTCACTATCCAGATCTACAGTGTGTGTATCTCTGAATATAGGAGAAAATGATCATGAATGTCTTTCATTTTATTTTGCTGGTGACACCTCCTGAAGGAACTAAGCCAAGCTGAATGTGTCCCTCAAGAGAAAGGAAATTTCTTTCCTACCTTCAGGCCTCAGATCTGTTAATAAATGTTACTAGTTCCTTCTTTCCAATATCCCCATATTTGTTTTCCACATTATCGCTAGAGTCTCCATCCATTCATTCACTATTTATTAAGTGCTACCATGTATCTATCAGGCAATGCTCTGGGCCTAGGAAAACAGCAGGTGAGTAAAAACCTAAGTTCCTGCCTCACATACTCTTTTCTTAGTGCAGCTTCCTGCCATGGTGATCGTCCTGGGAAAAAATCATCACATAATTTCTTACTTAAGCTCCCAAAGCTCTGTACTATTATCTGCTGAAGCCCCAAATCTCAGCTGGGACTAAAGGTTTATAACCAGCTGGCTCTACCCCATGTGGCCACATCTCACTATATACTTACAGACACTCGGTTTTTAAATTACATCCGGGTATACTTCTGACTTAGCACATCATTTTCTTTTTTTGGGGCGGGGGGGGGCGTCCTTTTAATCTTGCTGTGCTTGTCATATTATCGCCAACCCCTCTTTCTCCTGAAAGGCTCTCTCTGCTACTCTACATCTATGGAAAGCTTATCATTCTGGGTCCAAAATAAGCCTCACCATATCCCCCAAATGTCTTCAAACTAAGCTGACCTAAAATGACCAATTCCTTACAACTTGCGCTTCATATGTATGGTATCTCACTAATTTCACCCTTGCTTATTTCAGGCCTTTAACTACTCAGAACTACGTCAGGTATATTTGCTATATTTTCCAAGTAATTAGTAGGCACTTTGGAGAGACCACATTTTCCTTTGCTTTTGTGACACTACCTAGTGTAGTCCTAGTCATGTTGTAGGACCTTAATAAATGATATTCTTTGGTGATATTAGGAGAATAAAAACATTATTAATCATTTACATGTGCTGAACATACAACAGAGAAAAGTAATTATTTGAATATTTGGACAAAATGACCTTTAAACCAACCTATAAGCCCTTCGAAAGCACTGATCATGTTTTGGTGGATTTACTAGGAGCCAGGCACTGGGCTAAGCAGGCCCTTCCTATGCACTGTTTCATTGAATCCTCACAACAGCTCTATGAAATAGGCCTGATGATTATCCACATTTTATATCAAGGAAACGAAGACAGAGGGACATCAGGTAACTTCTCTGACTTGACATAACTAGTCAGTGGGAGGTAGAATTTGATTGCAGTTAGTTTTTTGTTATTACTGGTTTCCTCCCAGTAAGCAAGCCCGCGTGTCTGCTGAGCCCAGCCAGAGTCCTGGGGTAGAACTGCATGCGAGAAAGAAGAGGGAGGGAAGCAGCTCAGGAGAAGGAAGCCAGGGCGGACCTGGTACCTGCTGTCCTGCATGGCACAGGGATGATGAAGCAGGGAGGCAAGGATGGTAGGTGAAAAGTCGAGAAAAAAGGAGAAAGTGGAAAAGGGGACAAGAGACGGAGGAAGAAAAAAAGGAAGGGATAAAGTGAGAGGGACAGGAAGGAGACAGGAAATCCTTAACTGGAAGAAGTAACAGAAAAAGCACATCAGGTTACTGGTAAGCACAGAAAAAAGTCAGAGTCCTCAGAAAAGAGTCTTGAGAACAGGCATGGCGGTGCAGAGAGCTGAGCGACCTGAGAGCCATGGGCTGCCCAGGTCCCAGCACACCCCATGCATCGGGGACACTTACAGAGCAAGAGAGGCGGTGGCAGCAGTGAACAGAAGGAGGTGCCCAAGGGATCCATTAGCACCTGAGAGGAGCAAATAGGAAAGTGAGAGCTGGGGGGAGGCTGCCCGGGAGCCGCCACCCCGGTGCTCGTCCTGCAGGGCACTCACCTCCACGGCAGGCCTGGATGAAGAACATTTTCGGCTTGTTCTGTAAGCTCGGGCAGTTGGCATTGTCAAAGAGCCGAAACACCTCTTGTAGCTGGTGGAAAGGAATAAGGGAGGGGGGAGGGTAAGTGGTCAGTAGGACCTTCTGAGTCTTATACACACAGCAGCAGCCAGCACAGGCTGAAGGTGACAGACGTGATCCAGCACCATCCACAAGACTGTACACACCTGAAGCACCTTGCCGTCCACACCATAGACGCCGCCCTCCACGCCGTGAGAGAGGAGGGCCACAATGCAGGAGTCAGTGACTCGGTGAGCAGGCAACTGGGCAAAATTCTGGAGTTTCTCTTGCATTTCCTAAAAGAAACACACCTTTTAGTGTTGTTCACTATAGTCAGCACCAATATGAGCTTTTCTGTGGCGTCTGAAACCTTAAGTTATTAGAAGGTAAAGTGATTTCTGTGGTCAATGATAAGTAAAGTTAGAGGCTAGAAAAAGCATGGACTCATCAGAAAATGCATGACTTCAGACACAGAATTCTGAATATAATTGCACAAAATTCACAGACTGAGATATGCTAAGAACTCCTGGATTAAAGCACATAACTAATGAAGCTAATCAAGAGCTAGTTAACTTTATCCATCCCCCTATCACCAACCAGATTTCTTTTGAGCAAATACTGTTGTACATTAGTGGCACAGGGGGGCCACCTGCTGAGCGGTGAATGAGTATCACCTATGGGGCCACAAGGAAATAAACTGCTCCATGACAAAGGGCTAACAGGACCATGATCTAGAGAACAGCAGACCTTCTACGCTGTTTTCTGTCTGAGATCTGAAGTGCCCAGGGACAGTGATGATGTCTGTATAAAACACCTTGTTCAGGAAGGAGCACACTGTCTGGAAAATTCTGTCAGGGCCATGACTAAATGCATAGGCCACGGGATCAGACAGACAGACTGAAGTTTGACCCCTGGGTCAAATCTGGTACAAGTTATTAAGCCCCTCAAGGTTCTAATCCCCATTCTGTATAGCTATGTCTGGCATATCCTGCAAAGACCTGCCATTATTATTATGTGTATGTCTAATTAAGGGTAACAATATTATCTCCCCCCCACCCCACCCCCCAAAAAACCCCTATTACTTGTCAACCTTGTAGTCCAATTTAAGAATCTTGCTTTATTGCCTGGCCACTGTGGCTCAGTGGTTGAATGTTGACCTATGAACCAGGAGGTCATGGTTCTATTCCTAGTCAGGGCACATGCCCAGGCTGTGGGCTTGATCCCCAGTAGGGGGTGTGCAGGAGGCAGCTGATCAATGATTCTCTCTCATCACTGATGTTTCTATCTCTCTCTCCTTCTCCCTTCCTCTCTGAAAGCAATGTCAAAAAAATTTCTTTTTAAAGAATTTTGTTTATCTAGCACTATGTTGCCATACATGAGTACCTCTCTACTTTAGGCATTTGGCCCATCAATGGAAAGTTATACCATAATACAAAACCTGATACTAATTGTTAAACCTATGTCTCCCCTCTACAACTCAAGATGCCTGGACTGTCTCTCCTATCTGAGATCAGCAGAGAGATAAGTTATTTTATTATGAATTTGAATGAACTGTAATGAAGACGAGTATGCTATCCAGGCAGAAAAGTCACCAGATACAGCCCCGGACAAAAAGCACACACTTGTGTATTAAGTTGCAGTGGTTCTCAAAGTGTGGTCGCTAAAGCAGCAACATCAGCACCACCTGGGAATTTGTGAGAAGTGCAAAGTCTTGGGCCCCAGCAACTGTGTTTTAACAAGCCTTTGGGTGATCTGACATGAAAAGTTTGAGAACTACTGATCTATTTGTTTGCAATACAGTTGACCCTTGAACAATGCAGTGGGTAGGGGCGCTTTGACACCCACAAAGTCAAAAATCCGTATATACTTCTGACTCCCCCAAAAGGTAATTAGTTGTCCTTCAATATCTGTGGGGGACTGCTTCCAGGACTCCCCACAGATAACAAAATCTCAGATGCTAAATTCCCTTATATAAAATGGCGTAGAACAGGGCATACAGTCAGCCCTCCACATCTTTAGATTTCCAACAGTGCGTCGAAAATACTGTTTTCCATCTGAGGTTGGTTGAATCTGTGAATGAGAAACCTGGGGACATATAGTCTGCATGTAAGTGGACCTGTGCAGTTTAAACCTGTGTTGTTCAAGGGCCAACTGTACTTCTGTTGCACATAATTGAAACTTCATTATACAAGACTTGTAAGTCTGCAACATAACTGGAAATGGAGAAATTGGCTCTGTTGAAAAAGTATGTATATTTTCTGGACAAGTAGAAGCCAACTGTAATATTGGGAATCTTAAGGTAATAAAAGATATCCAAAATTGACTTATTTCAAGAATATATAACCCCAAGAGAATACGTAAGTATGAATGCTCCTCTGGAGATGACCGTAACAATTTAGCAAGTAGTAGTTGAAGTTTCTTTGTGGAAGGGAATAAAAAGATGAGCATTTTATTAGGTCAGTAAACAGATGACAAGAAAGTCCAAACAAAGAACACATACTTTGTAACTGAATTGATATGACTAAACCTTTCAATAAATGGAGATTAGTTATTTGGGGAAATTTTTCCAAGGTAGCATAGCTTAAAATAGGATCTGCAGCTTTAGTTCAGATAAAATTATAGTACTTCTCTAAAGAGCAGTCTTGCCTTTATTTTTGGCTGGGGGTGGGGGGTACAGGAGAAGAGAATAACCTGCAAATCATCTGAAATTATATGCAAGATTTTGTGGATAGCTTCATTTTCCTGGAATGACCCACTGCTTGTCCCTACATTCTCAAAGCAGTCTGCGACCCAAATGCAAGTTAAAGACCAATACCATACAGCAAAAGAAAATTTGCCACTTAAAACGTGTTATTTTTTTATATATGATGAATTGTAATTCTAGAACTAGCAGCCTCATGAGGGATATGCGATGAGAATAGACTTAGATGCCAAAGAGAAGAAATGAAAACCAACACAAGCAGTGAAAGACCAGTGACCGCCCCCGCACTGTCAAGAAAAGAGGATACCCTAAGACTACACACTATTTCCAATTTTTAAACGGAAAGTAAAAATGTTGTAATAGAAGGCAAAAAGAGGGAATCTTATTTTTTTGGATTCTGTTTCTTTGCTCGTCAAATAATTACATAAGAGTTGAGTTTCTTGCGAGGTCCTTCCAGGAAGAAAGTATTCAGTGCAGATGTGCAGTGCACCAAATTCTCACCCCGACTGTGCCTACCTGATTGTACTGCATCTGAGCGTTTGGCCACTGCCAGAAACCGGTTCTGCAATGTCCTCCTCTCGTCTCTGAATCTCTCGAGCCGAGGATTAGGCTACATGGAGGGCTATCTCCTAGGGTTCAGCCTTAAGCCTTTTGCTCTTGTTACTCTTTTTCAAAGATCTCAAACTCTCATTAAGTATTTTTCCTACACAAGTAATTCCCAAATTTACATCTTTGGTCTCGACTTCCTCTGAGGCCCTCAATCCCTCACTTAATTTTTCCATCTTCCTTTATATGCAGTCATTCAATCACCAAGCAATGAACGTACAGCCATGCCATTATACTGTTTTCACATATATTCTTTCCCTTTTGGTCCACTAGGCCAGCAGTGGTCCATGAGGTCAGAAAGGTTGGTGACCGCTGCACTGGACTGTCCAGGCCCTCACCATCTCGTACCGGCATTATGATTTTAACTCCAAAGTGGGTTTCCTGCCATTAGTCTCTACTCCATTCTTTACAATGGTGTCATATTAATCTTTTCGAATCATCACGTGAATAATGCATCACTTTCTGCTCAAGAATTACTAATGATGTTCTAATGTCAAAACAAGAACGTCTAATTCCTTTGGGAAGATATCCAAGGCCCTGTGCATTCTGGTCCCTTTATCTTCAATCTTATTTTCAGCACTCTTTTGCCGTAGGCCAGTGGTCAGCAAACTCAGTCAACAGAGCCAAATATCAACAGTACAATTGAAATTTCTTTTGAGAGCCAAATTTTTTAAACTTAAACTATATAGGTAGGTACATTGTTATTAACTTAATTAGGGTACTCCTAAGCTGGCCTTTCCTAAAAATGTCCTCAATCTTATTGAGGTACATTTGCTGAGGTCGACCCCTTCCAACTCTCCCATTCACACTCGTCTTGTATACTTGTTTCAGATAGACGAGTGTGGATGGGAGAGTTGGAAGGGGTCGACCTCAGCGAACGTACCTCAAAACAATGTACCTCCCCCGTGCTGCATATCCCGCGGCCTGCCTGCACCACATCTCCTGTCGCCCGACCAACACCCCCCACTTCTAACGCCACTTCTTCAAAATAGACTCGCCCAGGCTGAAAACCGACTTCTGTGCATGGGCCACGAAGTTTCAATCGCACTGTACGTGCGCGCCCGCACATGGTATTTTGTGGAAGAGCCACACTCAAGGGGCCAAAGAGCCGCATGTGGCTCGTGAGCCGTGGTTTGCCGACCACTGCCCTAGGCATTTGGATCAACCACTAGGTCCCTAACATCACACATACATTTCCTGTCCACACGCTGTTCACCCTGCCTAGGATCCCTTCACCACTTCTCTCTCCTTAGTAACTTCTATCCTTCAAGGCCAGTTCAAGTCTCCACTTATCCTTCAGACGATATCTACCCAGGCAATTGTTTCTTCCTCTTAACTATTGTAGAAGAAACTGTCTCTAATTTTGCTTGGTCCTTGGGAATATACGAGACAGGCTTCCTTTTTTGCTGCTGTCAAGACTTTCTCATCTAACTGAGGTCCCCAGAACTCAAGGTCCACATTTTTAAATCTCTGGTGCCTAACAGTCTGCCCATCCTAAGGTCCTCAAAATTTGATGTTACCGCAATTGCAGTTACAGAACAATGTAACCAGAGAGGAGAATCCAGTAGGTCCTTGAGTCTGCATCAGATTTAACATAAACAGGAATGGTGTTTATGAAATGGGCTCATAGAGCCACACATTGTTCTGACTGTCTCTGAAAACAACAGTACACAGCTGACTTGGTGACTCACGGTTGTATCTTTCACTACCAATGCATGTAAGATTCCCGCTGACTACACACAATATGGAAAACCAGGACATCATAAATTCCTAGTAAAAGAAACAACCGGAGCAGAACCTGTAAGGAAGCACAGAAAGCACTCCTTTTGTTAAGACTTTCTAGCAGGATTCCCTCGGTAGGACTCATGGCTGATTCCCAACAGACCTCTCAGGAAAGCAGATGACCTACTTGAATGCTCGATGACTAAAGCAGCTGCTCAGCCATGGCTTGGGAGCAAGGGTGGCCTTACTTCTCTGCAATAGCTGTTACTGGAAAGCTGGCAAGGACAGCAGGCAAAGGAGAATACCTGAGAACCTACTGGTGAAACTGGCCTTACCAAAGTATAGCAAATACATCTTTTTCCTCACAGAAGCAAGACAGCTGAGAGACAGAAACAGAGACTGCAGACAATGTCGAAGACAAAACAGAGACCCCTACCTCAAAAGATCAAAGTGAATCTCCCAGAAACTTTAATTTTACCACTGACATTCCGAAAGGCAAGTTCAGGAAAGTACTACTATTCTGGAATCAAAATGAGGAATATTAATTCATCAACTGGCTATTACAATTTCAAAATAGAAATAGCCAAAGGTAATAAAGTTGGAAGTGTAGCTGGTTAACTGAGGTTAATGAAGAATAACCTATAATGATGCTTATGATCTGCAGGCATCTAGTCCAGAAGTAATTCACCCTAAGATCTGCCTTGTGGCCACACAACTCTTAAAAACAAGGAATTTTCCCATATGTTAATTCATTAAACTGCCACAAAACAGTATTTACAAGGGCAATTCCAGCGAATTCTCATTTGCAACAATTTTATCTGTCAAAGTAATCTTTACAACAATAACTAGACTCCTGTTATGATTAACCAAGAATAAATGCCCTGTGTAGCCTTGGCTTAGAAATATCCTTCTGAGCTGGTTGGGTGAATCTCAGCGTCTCCGCACTCCCCGAGTGATGGGGAATTAATTTGCTGAGCATGAAGAAATGAGAATCCAACCGTGGACTTTTATGACTCAGGAGGGAGAGCACAGCCTTCTGAGAAATCAACACTGGAGTAGCTGGCTGGCCCTAGTTCTTTTTCAAAAAACAACAACAACACCTAGATTGCAAGGTGAGAGGCAGAAAAAAGTGAGCAAAAAGGTAAGGAGTAAAGTAACTAGTAAGACACAGCCCAGCAGGCAGAGAAGCAGCAGGGGTTTCTGGCCCCAAATGCTGCATCGGGTACCTGTGCAGTCTGGTCAAGTAGAACATGGACATTATAGCCCAAGAGCTTGAAGAGGGTGACTAGATTGCTGTGGTCCACGTCCCCTCCGGAGCGGAAGTCCAGGTCCTTCTCTCCAGTGAAGTGCACGTTGCTCAGGACCAGTGCCAGGCCACGCGGCCGAGACTGCAACCTATAGGCCTGGGGAGGGGACGCCAATTAGACCCAGAGCTTCTTGAGGACAGAAACTACGCCCCCCCAATTAGGTGAGACATTTCAAGAAAACACAGACGTCATACTCTTCTGAACCCCACCAGGTCAAGACAGAAATATGCCCATAGGAGACATCCACTAGCAAAGACTTTCTGACTAACAGACAGGGAGAGAATGTGTACACAAACTAAGTTCACATGCCCAGAAAGGACATCTCATCTCCCAATTCTTTCCTCGTGCCGTTTTGCCAGACTCACCAGCTGGTGGTGTGTTCGATAGAACTCAGGAGTACAAGGCTTCACCTGAAGGCAGGGTGGGCCATCTCTGTTGTCTAGAGAGTGTTCCACAGTATCTGTGGCACAGAAAGCCAAAAGCTAGCACACAATCTATGCATCAATCCTAGTGCTTCATAACTTCAGGCACCCTTTGAACTGGAGATTTAATAATTACTGGTCTTGCCCATTCCCCTCAATTTGTTAAGATCCATGAGGTCAGAGACCTATTTACTTAGCCTAAATATAATTAGGTACTCAAGTCACCAAATAACTGAATTGGATATATGATAAAAGCCTTGTTCTAATCACAAAGCATCTCAATCAGAAGGCTAGTGGCTGATGATGTCCTTCCTCATTCTACAATAACTCAGCTTCATAGAGACAGGAATATGCAGGAATTTCCTACCTATACAAGTTGCTCCAAGGGCCAATTACCATAAAAACATCATCTGTGATGGAAGGGAAAAAGGACTAACCAATATCCCATCTAAACTGCCCTGCTAGTCCTGAACAAATTCACGGAGGAAATTGTCCCCAATATGAATGAAAAGTCAGATACCAGTTAAGAAAAGGGAAGTCAATCTGTGGGACCCCTTTTATCCCATCAATTCTCACCTGCAGACAGGCGCAGCTGCTTGTGAGGAGGACAGGACTCACACACCGGGAAAGACAGACTCAAGTTGTGGTCACAGCTCAACTGTAAGAAATCGGGAGCCCAGTGCAATATCTTAGGGAGATGGTCCAGTCCCAATAAAACAAAAATCTAGTCTCCCCACCCTGTCTCATAAATTCCTTACCCACCAAACTAACCCTTCTCAACACACCACGTGTCTAGGGCTCCATACCGGTGAGAGTACATGCTGAAAACCAGAGAGGGTTGAGAGTAACAGATCCTCCAGGTGACCCTGCTTGGTTTCCCTCAGGGCCACACAGAAGGCATCAAAAGCATGGGGACCCCTCTTGGGAAGCAAGCTGAGGAGTTCCACATTCTGGCTGAAACTGCCCACTTTGGCCTACAATACAAGAATAAAACATGAAATCATATTTACATATCTAGCTATAATTCCATTTCTCCAGATGAGGTTCCTAAAAATGTCATCATCCACCTCAAGAGTTCTTTTCACAGGAAAAACAATATGGGTGAAACCCTTCCCATTATTCCGGAATTATATACCTTCTCTGTTCAATGCTCTAGGGTAGAAGGGCATTTTCAATTCCTTAATAAGGCACCACACCCTTTTTACACTTTATCATGCTCTGTTCCTACTTCTACAACCAATTTACTTGGCTTTTCTCTTTTGCCTCCAGATACCTGAATGTGCTCCCTCATTTCGAAGGTGATGATATCTTGTTCCAGGAGATGTTCTAACAGTTCACTCAGCAACAGCTGTTTGGCCAGCAGCACTCGGTTCTTTTTCAGAGCTTCCTGATGGGCAGGATGCATGCCACACACTCCCAATACCCTACAGATAAAAGGCAGAGAGAAAGGCTGTCAATACAGAAGATATGGCCCAGAAGAGTGGAGTGGAAGAGGTGTGGGCAGGAAGAACAAAAGGAACAGAACTTACAATAATAACCAAGGTTGATTTTATCGAATCTCATTAAAATCAAAGAAGTATTGAGCAGTAACATGTTGAGCATAAGGAAATGATGTAATTCTTTATTGAGTATGTTCAACTGAGAGCATTGTCTGAGATAAATGGTCTCTTTAGGGAAGGGAAATAGCTATCTTATCAAAAATACACACAAGCACACATGTATTCATGAGAAGGAATATTCCTCAGACAGACCAATTTCAATTAAAAGAATTATTCCAAAAAACACTTCACATTATTTATCTAGGCTGCTGAAAGTGATGTAAGTTTTAAATGATTCTGTGTGAAGAATAAAATAATTTGATACAATGGCAAAAACTCAAACCAACGGCCAGCTCTAATGGAAAATAAATGAGACAACACACAAACACACTCTATCTAGTCTACTTATACAAATTATAACTATGGCTTTTCAAACTTTAAGTTCCTGTGACAAAATGTGACTAGAAAATATTAGAATACTGTAAGAACTGGATAAGTAGAAAGTATGACAGGAAGTAACAGTAGATAAATACCAATGATGGACACAACCACCATAATTTGAAATCACTTAAAGAGTTAAAGCACATAAAAGCTAAATTATTTTGGTAATTTAGTTTACTAGGGATATCTTTATTTCAAGGATTTCTTAGTTTTGTTATTGGTTTGGAAAGAGATCAGTTTCTGTTTATGAACTAAAAGAATCCCATTTAAATGTATAGTATCTATGTGCCTAGTTTATGTAAATCTAGAGCTCGCCAGCCTGCTTAGTCAGTTTCCAAATATATGATAGTAGTAAGAGCCTGATGGCAGTGAGAAAGGATATGGTAATAGCTTCAGTTTATAACTTAAAACCCTATTTAAAGATCCATCTTGATCTCAAAGATGCTACAATGTGCTTCTTAGAATCAGGGAAATACCATGCACTTGTAGAATGTACTTGGCTTAACTCTAGGTGAGAGATTTGCAGTTACAGAAGAGAAAAGCATGGTCTTGGAAGAGCTGAGAGAGACCCAAGAAGATAGCATGTGGGATCCCAAGGCAGAGGAAGTGGTCAGGAACACATTCCCAGGGTTGGAAGCAGCCAACCTAGGTTACAATTTGGGTTTAGAACAGTAGTGATGTTTTCAATTCCACTTAAACTTCCTGTTTCTTGAAAGACTCCTGTTACCCCAAACTTTCAGTAAAAACCTGCTATAATACAATCTACAGAAATAAAAAACTATTTAATAATCACTTTAGAACACACCAAAGCAATAACAATGATAAAGCTCAGGTAAAAATAAGTGTAATGAGGTCAACCTCAAAGTAAAGCCATCTGTAAAAGGCTTTGCCATACTCATTTTAATATGTGCCCGTTGCTGTTAACTTTTGATGAACAGAAAACTAAAGCAGCCCTGGCTGGTGTGGCTCAGTTGGCTGGGCGTTGTCCCAGGCACTGAAAGGGTGCTGGTTCGATTCCCTGTCAGGGCACATGCCTGGATTTTGGGCTCATCCTCGGTGGGAGACATGCAGGAGGCAGCCTATTGAAGTTTCCCTCTCACATCGATGTTTTCTCTATTGATGTCTCCTTCTCGTGCCAATGTTTCTCTCTCTCTCTCTCTCAAAATAATAATAATAATAAAAAAACTAAACAAAATAAGTTTTTCCTCCCTTGGATCCCATGACACCATTCTTTCCAGGTCCTCTCTATGCCCACCATATTCCTCCAGAGGACCTTTGGCCTGCCCTTAAATGTTGATATTAAGAACCCCTGAAAGAAGCTGTCCCTAGTCTGTCTCATCCATACTCATAATTCAACAACTGACTCCCAGTTCTTAAACCTTGCAAGTCTCATACCTGAATTTTCAAACAAAAACTTCCTTGGGTTTGATCTGAAGCATCATCTGTTTTCTTTTCTTTTCTTTAACCCTCACCCGAGGATATTTTCCCATTGATTTTTAGAGAGAGTGGAAAGGTGGGGTAGAGAGAAAGAGAGAGAGAGAAACATGGATGTGAGAGACACACGTCATTGGTAGCCTCCCACACGTGCCCCGGGTGGGGGCCGGGATCCCGCTAGCAACCAAGCAAGGTATGTGCCCTTGACCAGAAACAACACACCCTTTAGTCTGAGGACCGATGCTCTCACCACTGAGAAACCGGCCAGGGCAGCATCGTCTGTTTTGCACACACCTGCTCCTTTCTGTATTCCATATTGGGCCGTGAATCTCAAAGGTGGACTTTCCAAAAGTAACCACCATCCTAGAACTTTAGGACACATCTGGAAGGGGAGGAAGGGGTAGACAAAAGGACACAGAGTTCTTCAGTCCTGATCCAGTGTCCTCCATCAAGTTTCAGTTCCGAAGTCTTCAATTAATCTTCTGGGTCTGGACCAGGAGGCTCTTAAATGTTATCCTGTGTGCTGTCTGCCATTAAATGCTATAACTGGGGCAGAGATAGAGACACACGGGGGGCCTCGGGAACCTCCTTGGCCTTTCAAAGTGATCTCACCCTTTCAAAGCCTGTGCTGACTGCTTCGAAAACCTGGTCATTATACCCAAAGCAATACGGGTCATGATATATTCAATCCAAATCAAATGCACATTAGGCAGTATCAGGAGGTCTGCAGGTCTCATGCAGAAGGGAAGCAGGGGAGAGACTCTCTGAAAGATTTAAAGATGGAGAATCTTTAAGAGAGGCCGAGATTTGGCAGGGATGAAAAGGGCTCCCTTGTTCAAAGCCCCCCTGGGTCGGACGAATCCAGGCCGGGCAGGGAGGGACGTGGCCGAGAAGAGGCCCGCGCGCTCCTGGGGGCGCAGCCCGGCTTCCCACTCCTGGCAGGAAGCTCGGACAAGGCTCCTTAGGGGTCCAAGGTGGGGAGAGGCGCCAGGGCCACACGCCTGAGCCGCGCGATCGCCTTCCCTGGGCCCCACTAAGGACCCCTGGGATCTTCCCTCACTCACCTGCGTCCCCTGTCAGCGGCCATTTGCCCGTTTAGGGGGAGGGCGGGCCGGGAGCCCGCGATCGGCGTCGCCATTTCTCGCTTTTCCCGGGCTATGCACGCACCGCCCACGATCCAAACAAACCGAAAGCCTGCGAGTCCTCTGCATCCCTCTCCCGACTGGCGGCCCACAACGCGCCTGCGCCCTACCTCTCTTGGCCCCGCCCCTGGGAGAGGCCGCCCCTGGGTTCCCGCGGAAATCATGGCTCCTTCCCCCGCACCGCCCACTCCGCCCGCCTGGCCTATTGCAAGAATTTCAGAGAGGCGGGCGTGGCCGGACTCTGTACTTTATTGAAACGTTGGGGCGCGGGGAAGGAAGCGAACACTAGGAGGCGCCAGACGGCTACCCGCTCAGGGACTGGAGGCCTGTGTGGGAGCGCCCCGAAGCGGAGTGTAGGTCAGCGGTGGTTGAGCAACTCCCAGCGGCTCAAACCTACACCACAGCCCAGTACATGATTCCAGTCTCACACGGGCCAAGTAAACGAGGCATGCGGGCCGCGAGTTTGACATGCTTGTGCCAGACATGTGAGGAAGCAGGGCCGGGCTGATGTGAAACCCTAGCAGTGAGAGTGCAGGGGTGAGGCTGAAGCGATGAGAGTCAGTGCGATTGATTCCAGCCTTCACATTGGATGACGCAAGAGTATCTGTAGATACTCCGCCACCTCTGCCGAGAAGCTCACGCTTTATCCTTGCTGATCCACCTCTCCACCCGTCCTTGAGACCGGAAGACCCTAACCATGGGGCAGTTTTACTCCCCTGCTTCCCGTAGGATGGGGACCCTTCGTGGGGTACTGCTCTCCAGCCCTTGGGCCAGAACCGCTTCCCTGGTGGAGCAGGGGTTAGCACAGCTTTGACAAGCCTTGTGCCTCCGGGAGGCTGGGCACAAGCCTGATCACTCTCAGCCCACCCTGTCTGCAGACACAACTGGTCCCCCCTCTGTCTACCATCCCTCACCAGCAGTTGTCTGAGACAGACCGAGAGATGTGCGGATGGCCTGGCTACCTTGTTTTGAGAACATCATGGGCTTTCGGATCAGAAGAGCAGAGTTCAAGTTATTTTTATCCTGTTTACTAGCCCTGTGCTCCTGTGCAAATAATCAAGCTTCTCTGACCCTTGGAACCCTCATTTTCCAAATGAGGGTGATTTTACCCTATGAGGCTGGGAAGTCTAAGTGATCTAATAGAAGCAAAGCACCCAGAGCAGAGGCAACATAACTTCACTCAGATGTTGTTTCTTTTCTTTCTTCTCCGGCTTCTCTGCATCATTGCCTCATCTCACCCTCACTCTAACTCTGAAAATAACAATTATGGGTTAGGTTTCTGAATGTCACCTGAAAAATTCAAATTGTACCACCTGCATCTCAACTGAGAAGGGCTTACCTTAGCCTAACTCCCCTCTGGGTTAAAATCCCCATTGGTGATGTCCAGTTCCTGACGCATAGCAGGCACTGGGAAAAGTGGTCAAATGAATGAGTGGGTCTGGTGCAGAGAGATGATATATCCTGGGAAAGTCTGTTAGGGGGGTGTCCAGTTGTCTTCATAAAAAACATTCTCATCATCAGGGTAACTGAAGCTGACATCATAGTCAGGCGGCGGAGTAAGAGGCTCCAATCTGGGGAGCAACTCCAATTTGGGGAGCATGCCCAAGCTCTGCAGATCAGGAGCAGTGGACGCAACTCGTGGTCCCCGAAGCCGAAGGCTGATTGGAGCTCTCCCAGCACTTCCTGGGGCCATAGACCCCTCTGAGCCCACTCGCCTTTCCACTCTGGCTCTCCTGGGCCCCTCTGGATGGTCAGGCTGTCCCTCCACAAGTCCTGGGGAGATGACCACACTGCTGTAGGGAGGTGGTTGATCCAACTCTTGGGGGCGGCACTGTGATTCCAGCACCACGGCCTCTTCATAGGGTGGCACCTCAAAGGCTTCATTGTCCCTGGCGAAGGAGAAATAAGGTCATTGGTGGCTTACTGAAAGGAGACCTTTTCTATCTTCTACCAACAAAAGACCCCTCCATAGCCTCTGCCCCCTCCTCTCACTGATACCAGTGATAGAGGTGGAAAGCAGAGCCCGTATGTCTGAGAGACTAGAGAGACACAGGGAGAATGGGCACAGCGCAGCGATTTTTCATCCGGTGTGCTCCAAGAATTTTAAAACATGCAATACCTGACTACTTAGTCAAGGGCACTGACCTTCCCCTTAGGCTGTCTAAAAGAATAACAGTAGCCATCACAACAATAGCTGTATGGTGTGAATGAATCAAAATTATACCTATTATTTTTGTCAGATCGGCAAAAAAAAATACGTTTTTTGGTGTGCTGCAGAATTTTAGTAATTAGTTTATGTGTGCCACGAGATGGAAAAGGTTGAAAATCACGGGTACAGTATCTTCCTTCAATCCTGCCCACCCCTCGACTCACCGAGCATTGCCTGAGGCCCCTGGGCTCTCCGGCTGCACTGATTGGAACACCCATTCCAGAAAACGGGCCAGCAGGCAGGCAAACATGAAGACGCCACCCAAGGCCAGAAAGAAATAAGCAACAGGGACGGTGTCCGGCTGTATGCCCAGCAGAGCCAGCCCCAGGAAGAAGAAGGCACAGCACAGGTAGAGAAGTGGCTTCTCCAGTCTCCCCCACAGCTGGCTCGGCAACATGGCCCCTCCCCAGGCTCCTGCAAAAAGACACACAGCTGTTGTGTCTCGACCAGCAACTGGCATCATGGCTGGGACAGATTCCAAAGTACCCATATCAGACACCTTCTGGGGGTTTCAGGCTCTTCAACCTCAAATCAAATAAATGGCCAAAATAAATGGTCATCAGTGTCCTCTTCAGTTCTGTAATTCTCTGTAGGTTCACTCTGTATCGGGTCCCAGGGTATCAGGATGTGTGGAATAAGCCAGGACACCTTTCCAAGAGTTCTGATTCCTAGCCATCAAGCCAGCTTACTGTGTCATGGCCCTGCCCCCCTTCCTTTTTCCTTCTTCCCTGGATTCTCCCAGTTCTATCATTCCACATCAGGATCCAGTCCTGGGTGGGCCCTGGGACCTTGGGGTTCACTGGCATCTCTGGAATCCAGGTGATGGGGCAGGCCCTGACCTTTTTCTATTACTGCTTGCACTGGACCTCCATTCCCCAGCTGCCCAGCCAGGGCCCTCAGTAAGACCCTGTTGGGATGAGTAGGGAGTGGGGGGCGCCACCTACCTCGTGTCTGACCCCACCTTCACATTTCCTCCAGTCAGTCCATACTCGGTTGGAGGGAAAAAATGCACATAGACACAACATAGCCACAGGGCCACAGCTACGTGAGAATCTTACAAAGGCCTAGGGTCATGGACAGAAGCCAGATAACCTCTGACCTCTCTACACTTCACATCCACCCGGGTCCTCCACCCTCTCCTGGCTCTAACTCAGTAAGCTCACATTTCTAGTTTCCTGCCTGCAGTAAACAGAGGCTGGGAGGTTGGTGGGAAGAAGACGCTTTTTTCCTTTGCAGCACAGCGGCAACTCGCAGGCAACCATGTCAGGAGTTCCCTGAACTCTGCACAGCAAGGACTCACAGACTCTACAAAGGGGCCAGGCCCCCTCCTTACACCCCTGCCCCAATCGCATGACCCTCCCGCCACCTGTCACTCACCTTAGGAGTTCCTACCTCACCAGTCTGGACCAGACACCAAAGAAAGTAGGTTGTGGGGGAAGTGGGAGGAGGAGAGGAGGTGGAGTCCACTGGCCCCACCCTCTTTTTTGCTCCAGTCTCAGAGTTCCAGCCCAGGCTTCATTTTTCCCCCTTTCGCCATCAGGCTGACCTCTTGGGGCCCCGCCTTGATTTTTTCTCACTCCATCCACCCGCTTCAGTGCCTTAATGAGAGTGCTTTTCCTCCCACCCCCGTGAACTCTGTACTTAGGACCAGAGTTAAAATCACCTGTCCTTATCCATTCTCAATTCACAGTGTATTCAGAGCAGTTTGCCTTATGTTTAAGGAATATATATTGTGCCTGGGAGCAGAGATCACGGTTTGTTTTAATCTCTGTAGATCATACCGTGCTCTGCAGACTGTAAGTACTGCTGTGGGCCTGGAATGGTGTGTTCTGCTTTCACTGCCACAGTACCTTTTCTATGAACTGCTTGTTTTCCGCAGACCTGTAAGAGGAGTCTGTGTGTATGCTTCCTGTCATAGTTAACTCTTGATTCTTCAAAAGCCACCTCTAAGGTCATGCCTGCTGTGGAGGCTGTCTCCTCTGTGTGACCACAGCATTCCATCCTCTTCCAGTCTCAGCCTTTACCTGTTCATATAGTAATTTTCTGTTTATACACTTTTCTTCCACTGCAAGAAATTATGGAGAGTGATTAGTTTTCAATCATCTCTAAATCCCAGCAACTAACTCAGGTCCTGACATATAGCAGGTGCTTACTAAACACAATGGAGGCCCAGGACCCACTCTTTCAGTTGTGGGTCAGGCAATAATTCTGGGTGAGGCAGATGCTGGGAGGGGAGGTGCAGAGTGG